TACACACACACGCAACACACACATACTACATACATATATACCTACATATGTATACTTGTAACAAGGTAGCGCGCCAAAAACAGCGACTGTAATGAAAAAAATTCGACGAGTTTGTGGTTGAGCAGATGGGTCGAATTATTTTACACAAAAAGATACGTGTATGTGTGTGTGTATGATTGTCAGTATTTTACATACCAATGTTTGTTTCTGTTAAAACAATTATAATCCTTGGGTATCAGATAGCAATGAAGTGAAATAAGACACATACCCACTAACATATGTATTTACAATATAATATACCATATATTCGTATATTCCAATATCAGTTAATTCAATTGGTTAAAAATCAGTTTGTGCTTTTAGTCTGAGTTTTTAACACCTGTCTCCACTATCAGTAGGAAAAGTAAATTTGGTGCTGCTCGAAATTGAAAACTACTCCGACTCTCTTTAACATTTTTTAGAGAACAAGGGGCTCATGTACTCAAAGCACTCGAACTCTGAATTTTTTCTCTACAAACCGATTTTAGACTATATGGCAATACCAAAAATGTCTAGCATTCGCTAAAAAACAGACTAAAATTTTAGTAGTTACACTTTTTTTTTATTAAATTCGTTACACAAAAATAAATTAAAAATAAAAATAAAAAAAAAAACATATTTATTCGATCAAAAACTTCTTTATCATTTTTTTGTTTCAGCCCTCAAAAAAATTCCCCGTAACTTCATCAATCCTATCAACAAGTAGAATTTATTTGCCCTCACCAGCATGCGATGAGTGCTTTTAAGGTTTTCTCAATGGCTCTTTTGGCCAATAAACTAACGAATCCACTTTTCTAGTCAACTGCCCCCAGCACCAATCCTTTGATTACTTTCAATGCCAACACCTACTCGTCGTGCCGAGTTAGCAATTTTCGTCAAATATTTCCTTTTTGGATTTTTCGGCAGCAGGAATGTGCATTTGTGCAACACAAAAAGTCCTGCTAGCTTCCGTTACATTTCAACATTTGAGTGTTATTTGCTCTCGTGCCCTTTGATATGGCATTTAACCGTTCACCCGACAACAGCCGGTTTCGTAGGCGTCAGTGCGGGTTTGTACACACATACGGGCCTGTGTTTTTGTGTTATGCAAATGCATGTTTATACATGTCTGTTTGATGTGTGTGTAATGTTATCAAAGTCAGAAATCAATGTTTAGCAAAACCACTTCCTGCATGTACCGGTGCTGGCACCACCCGAACAAACCAAAAACGCAGAGAACGCCTTCTTTAGACATGCAGTTAACGGTATGGCAAGGCGACGAGTTAAATTTTTTTTTTTTTTTTCAAATGTATAAAATCAAATGTATTAATCGTTGCCTACAATTGGGCGTATAACTGATATTATTTTATTTTAAGCGATAACCATTTTTTGGAAATGAAAAAATATTGTAGTGAGCGTGATCCAAGTTACCCGTTTAGGCACGATTGTTACATCCCTAGTAGGATAGCCTAGGCGATTTACGCCTCTAATTAACTTGCTGCTCTATAAATAAATTATTATTATTTGCATTTAATAAAGATCTACATTTTTTCAATTATTTGTTGCACTGCGTGTGTTTTGTTATTTGTATTGGTACGTATGCTAGTATACTGAAATTATTTTGCATCTACTGTATATTTATCCACCTCTCAATATAGACTTATATTTCCTATTTCTGGCCAAAAAAAAACAAGCTGCGCCACTTGCAAATGGAGTTTTATGCCTGTCATCATCGTTTTCTCATATTCTTCCGCATTTTTATTTTGCAGAGAGGCATTAGGACAGGTCGTTGAAAATATAAACATATTTTGGGTTATTCGTTGTATTACTAATTTTTCACTTGGATTATATACTATGTTGGTCTAAAGTGGTTTTGTTGCTCTAGGTATAAGATCGATTTACGATATATTTGTGCTCACGATTCATTATACAAGCTATATATACAAGTAGATATCTCTTTATTTAATTCTTAACAAAGCCTTGAAATCTTCCGTTTATTCATTCCCATACTTTCGGTAGGGAGTCTTAACACGGAGATTTTATGCCCTGAACAGGGTATATTAAGTTTGCCACGAAGTTTGTAACACCCAGTAGGAAGCGTGGGAGACCCTATAAAGTATATATATAAATTATCAGTATGTCGGGCTGAGTCGATTTAGCCATGTCCGTCTGTCTGTATGTATATATACGAACTAGTCCCTCAGTTTTTAAGATATCGTTTTGAAATTTTGCAAAYGTCATTTTCTCTTCAAGAAGCTGCTCATTTGTCGGAACTGCCGATATCGGACCACTATAATATATTGTTGCCATACAAACTGAACAATCGGAATCAAGTTCTTGTAATTGGGCACAGGCTATTTTCTAAGATAATAATGTAATAATATACGAAGAAATTGTTCAGATTGGTTTGCTGTAGCATATAGTTGGCATACAAACTCAACGATCGTAATCAAATGCTTGCATGGGAAACTTCTTCATTTGACAATACGCATATCTTCAGGAAATTTGGTATGAGTTATTGTTCATAGAAATATTGTAATATCGGAAAAAATGGTTCAGATCGGCTTACTGTAGCATACAGCTGCCATACAAACCGAACGATCGGAATGAAGGACTTGTATGGAAAACTTTCGCATTTGACGTCATATCTTCACGAAATTTGACATGGACTGCTGATTAAGTTAATAATACAATCTCTGAAAAAATTGTTCAGATCAGATTTTTTTAGCATAGTTATCTTAAAAACAATAGCACATAAAAGATATTGATTTATAAGGTAATAACCTGGGCACTTGAAAGCATCAAAATCAAAGACCCAAAATCATTTTTTAGAGCTCAATGTTAATTCCTCCCTAATACAAATACCTTCATCCTCCTTTATGTGTTTCAATAGACCATAGAATGATTGTAAAGGGAAAAAATCATTTTCAAGCATTGCCAAAAATGTTTGTATGTATCTATATGAATTCAAAATCCTTTACACTGGAAAGACGTGCATACGTGTTTATTGGGCCTCCACAACGACAATGATAAAAGAAAATAATTTTATGGTTGCAATAATGCATGCATACATACTATATGAATATGCCATTGACCATGTTACAGTGCTTGCCATAAATAATTCAATAATAATCACTTACTTTTCATTCACTTTATAACAACCTTAAGCCTTTTAATTTTTTGGTATATATATGTATATATATATATATATATAACATTCAAGCTTAAAACTGTATACCTATATACATATGTGGTATATAGTATTATAACTTCAGTTAATGCTTGTAAAAGTAGAACTCCCTGCCAGGCAGCTATCTCGCATCGACTGACTAAGAGCAACCCATTAAGAGCATGCAACTTTGCAACAAATATGCAATTCTGCGACGACAAAAGCGTTTCGTGTAAGTGAAAAGGGGCTACACTTCCCCACGCAACAGTTACGCCTCTACCAACTGCAATAAGCAATTTTCTGCTCAGCAAAATTTTGTGAAGCCTCTTTGTGAGACAAATTAACTATTTTTTTTAGTTTTCCATTTTTAAATAAAGCTGAAAACCATTATTTTTATCAGTTTCCTCGCTTTGCTCGCATTGTTTGCGAATTTTAATGTCTGCAGTAGCTCTGCTGGCAGTCACACTCTTATCTCTTCTCCACTTTATGCCAAAAACGGAGAAGTTCTAAAATATTGAAAAAGTTGTTGCTGCACTTGGCTATCGCTTTTATACACATCCGTAGCATTGCCGAGCCTCTTCAGAATGCAAATGAATTCGGTGGACATTTTATTCACTTCTTGTTTATATTTTATTTTAATGAAAAATTGGTTTAAAATGCGACTCGATTGCAATAAATTCACTAAAATTTACTTTTTATAGTATTGTTAAGGAGTCTTAAGTTTGGATCCTCTAATATGCTTTCTGTGAAGTGGGTAGCAGATCGACTTAATGTATCTTGGAATATCTCAAAGACTTTTATAAACTGGCTTGCTGAAAATTATATGAAATTTAGATGGCATTTAAATTGAAAGGACGGTTTAATTGAGTCAAAATCTTCTTTAAATACTAATTGACTACATTGAGCGAGTGTCTGCAAGACTCTTATTTAGTTGAGCGCTATTTTCCAGTCATATTCCTAACTACCCAATTAACTCCGAATAAATGAGAGATAAACCTTTTATACTTAAGTATTTAATAGCCTTTGCGCATAGAAATTAATTGGTCAATTAACCAGTCTTTACTCAATTAAAGCGGCAATATATATTATATGTTGTTGTTTTGTTTTACTATATTAATTATTAATTGAACTGAAATCGAGTTGGAACTGGTATGTATTTCCGCGGGTTATTGTCCACTCTCTAAATTTGGCTGTGTTTAACTCTGACGGTTGTTGTCCAGGCAATAAGTTTGGTTGTGTACATTGATAAAATAGCATATGAATTTTAATATTTAGAAAATATACAAAATGAAGCGCACAAACAAGCTGAACGTGCTGAACGAATCAATCGCTATTCGAATATCCGGCAGTGCGAAAGGCAAAAACTGGTTTCTCCATTATAAGTTTGATGTACAACATTAATTTGGCTGCGGAAAAAGGCTATAATTAAGTCAATTGGCAATGTTTCTCTGTACGTAATTTTACACAATTAGTTAATTGACTAAATTAAAGAACTCTTTAACACGTTTGTTTTCTTTGGAAATATTATATAATAATTAAAGATCAAACTGTAAAATCAATTCTGTAAACTGGCAAAAATAATTGTTGAAATAAATAGTAAAACGTCATAAAAACATACAAAATAAAAATAATGACAGTTGCTAATTGAGTGAGCGTTATATGTGAACACCAACCTCAACTAAGCAATTAATTATAATATCATTAATATAAAATATTAATATTTTTTTTTCCTGTCGATTTCGATGTACCCTTAAAACCTTTTGATAACTTATATGAAACCATACTAATTCGCTACATTTTGTTTCTTTTACAGAGTGTACTTTGTGCCGACTTAGCCATAAGCATACCTAATAATCAAGGGCTGGACAATGTCTATTATCGCATTGACTACAGTCCGCCATACGGTGATCCCGCGCCAAACACAACAATACCGTCGCGTGAGATTGGCGAGGAGATTCAATTCTCACACGCTCTGCCCGGCACCAAGTACAATTTCTGGTTATACTATACAAATTACACGCATCCAGATGTGCTATCGTGGACGGTGACAATTACCACAGGTAAGCGAGCATACATTACATTAAATAGGGTAGTTCGTAATATGACGAAAATATTTTTTGAGTTTAAATTTAATTATTTCAGCTGACCGCTAAGAACTATAGTAAGAACAAATGGTAAAAACAATATTTTTATAATTTACTGTTTATTGATTTCTAAAAAATATTGTCGAATCATCAGACGAACTTATATTTGCCATAGAGAGAGTATAGAGATTCTCGGGTACTTTGTGTTACAATGTAGATTTAATATATTGCTTTGTTTCTCCTTAATAATCTGTAAAATACATACAGTGGGTTTTTCTTATATTTATATGAGGATAACCCTAAATTATCCTTGAAACCCACACACTTTAGCGCATGACAGTTTTAATTACTTTCGAGGAAGAGATAAATCGCAACACGGAAAGCTTTATCGTGTGGAACTTATTTATGCATTTTAAAGCAACCAAGCAAGGCAGCAGCATTTAAAACAAAATTTAGTGCTACAAATTGTGAATAAATAGTCTCGATCGAGTTTAAAATAGTTTCATAACATGATGGCGAATAACTAAGTCTCTTTTCATTGGGGACACTTTTTAGGTGACAGGTTCCAAACACAACACACAATCCTGGGGAAGGATGTTTCGCTTTCTCACTTTGGCTTCGGATGTTCTTTGGCTATCCAGGGGATACTAGGTCTAAGACCAGAAGTCGTGAGCTGCTTGAGCCATTGTTGAAGAATCGTTTCTGGCCACTCCCAAGTAAATGGCGCTCAGAGAACTTTTTTCACTTGCACTTCGACATATGACTCTATCTTCTATGTATCCGGAATTGGTGCCAAATTGGCTATAACAGCTTTAACCGTTTAAGCGTTGTCTACGCCAGTAAAGAGGAAGAACTATGTCCCTGCTGACAATTTTAAAAACATGCTGGCAATTTTGAATGTAAAACTATGAAAAAACACTATAATTTAGCCGAGTGTAAAAAGTAACAGCATCTTTATAATGTAGCATATTCAATATTGAGCTCTTCCCAACTTTCACAACACCTTATACAGCAGAAACCCCACTTTACTGTCAAACTGACAGGTGTCACAGACATGTCAAAGCACTTACCCGTATTTGTTTTCAACCTAATGATCGTAATAGCGGAAACAGCCGATACCCCCAGCGTCCTCTTCACACACACACACACCACTCAACTCTCGATTGCATTATGTTGAACACATTAAATCAGGGAAATGAGTCTTGGCTCTTCAGAAGTTTCGAAAGTGTAGCGCTTTGCTGCAAATTTAACGCATTTTAACTTCCCCATGCAAGTCTACGCGTATGTATGTATGTAGGTACGCTAGTGGCCCCATAAAGTGTGTTTTTGCGCTCTTTAAAGTGCTCATTACGCTTTTAAATGCCTGTCTCTGTGAGTAGAATTATGAAAATTGCCTTTTAACTGCGTTTCTGTAATTTAACAAAGTACTGAAATTACAACTGCGTTCCCTTGTGGCAGCTAAGCGTTTCTCTTCGCACTTGGCTGCTTACATCATGGCGCTGTTGTAGCATTATGTAATTGCTGAAATTAAGTAAAAATCGCGCAAGCATTACGAAATGTTAGACATTTTTTTTATACATTCAAAGTTAGGTAACAAAGTATATAAGGGAGAAAATAAAGAGTACTACATGTATGTAGACTTTCTCATATTTTTTTTTTTTTTTGAAAAAGTTTCGCTTATTCCTAGCAACTTCAGCTTTTCCTGAACTTAAAGAACTTACTTATGCTCTTCATATTTGTCTAAAGTAGTACTTGCTACCTCTTAAGATTCTCAGTATGATAAACCCACAAATTTCCCACAGAAGTGCTAAGTGAAATTTAAAGATTCCAACATAAGTAAGATTCCAAAACTAAAAACTATCAAGTAGTTTTTCCAACTTTAAGTTTATGGCCCAGCATGACATACGGTTGGCAACTCACATTATTATTACTACTAATTCCTACTTTATTTTCAACAAACCAAAGTGTTAATTGAGTGCAATGACCATAGCGTAGCTTTGTGTAGACAAAACTTTCCCGGCATTGCTTCCGCTAAAAGTTTGCAAATTCGTAGACTAGTCTTATTTTCGGTAAGCCATAACTTGCAAATTTGCAAAGCACGCATTTTAGGCGGCTTTTGGGCAAGTACTTTTGCTTAAGTCATGAATTTTCCAAGTGTCTGCTGGCTGCAAAGAAACCAACGCACACGTGTCTTGTACAGTGGAGTCTCAGAAATTACAACCGCTACGTTCTTACGGCGATTTATTTTTGATTTTGTTGAATTTCCAAATTATTAAGGAGTTACATGGGTTTCTTCGGGTAAAAAACAGCCTYTTTTCTTCAATTTATTTGTTACATAACAAAAATAATGMAATCAAATTTTAATAATAAAAAAATTAAATAATTATGAAAAATTTACATAATTTAAAAGTATAAATAATTAAAAAAATAATAATAATAAATAATCAAATAAAATTTAAATAATTAAAAAAGTTTTAATAATAAAACAAAATTTAATTTAATGATCAAATAAAATTTAAATAATTAAAAAAAACTTTATTTCGTTTTCTGTATTATTCCAAAAAAAATTAACTGATAACACTTATGTTTCAAAGTGAGCAGGACAAATGCTTTTTTCGGCAAAATCAATTTATTTCGTTCATAATAGCCGCCTTCTGCTTCTACAGCTTTTGCACGGTCCAAAAGCATGTCGAACGCTTTCCATTCATGGACAAATGCATATTTCCGAAAGGGAAGAAGTCGTACGGTGCCATATCAGATGAATACGAGGAGTGGTCAAATAATCGGTCACCAGCGTCAAATGTTCGGTCAAAATGCGATAAATCAATGTTTTGAAGACGTTCAATTCCATTTCCTAGAATTTCAATGATGATTTCGGCTGATTTTTGATGAATTCACGCACAGTTTCAAAGGAATTTCCGGTGATCACGGATTTTGATTGTTGATCGTCATTTATGTCTTCACGACCACTTTGAAAGCTTTGAAACCACTTGTGCACTCTGCTACGGGATAAGCAATCAGCGACATAAACTTGTTTCATCAATTGAAACGTTTCGATACAAGTTTTACCAATTTTAAAACAAAATTTAATGTTTGCTATTTGTTCGAAGCTCATTTTCGCACCGATAACACAAACATACAGACACTTAAAACGCCATAAGTTCATTACCAATAAATGAAATGTCATTAAATTCTCACTGTACAATCGATAAAGATAGCAGATTATAACGCATGAGTCGACATATAGATGGCGCTATCAGGGGACACCAGATTCAAAAACTCCTGTTTACTTTGGAACGCACCTTGTGTTTTCTTAAAATCGATCTAAACAGTCATATGTATATGGAAATCTTCTTCAAGGCTTTAAATGGAAAAAAATGCACATTCAGGTTATGTCTAAAAAAATAATATTTTTTGCCCTAATTATTTTTGACCTAACTCGAAGTATTTTTCTTTTTTCTAATTATTTTTCCGTTTTACTAATTTTTTTTTTTTATCTAGCTCGAAGTAAATTTTATCTAATTTGAAAAATGTTTAATTTTGCACTAGTCCCAATTGTTGAGCGCCTAGTGTAATTGGTTGCACAGGTCGTATGAGTTATGTTGGCCAAAAGTTTCTGCTTAACTTGATAATTTTCGCTTTTGTTTTTGTGTCTGTAACAAAGGCGCTGCACTCACCTACGAGTAGAGCTACTTAGCCAACGCAGCTTCAAATGCTAATTTCACACCGCGTCCGGCTTGACGCAGCAAATGAATGTACGAGTATGTATTTATACATCCAAGTGTACTTTAACAATCGAGGACCACCAGTTTACAACAACAACTGTTGTAAATTTGCTAATTTCGTAATATAGTTCAAATATTAATATATTATATAAATAATTAATATAATTAATAATTTTGTCCACAATTGAATTTATTTAAATTCTTCTTTTTATATTAAACTCCCTTTTCAATTACAAAGACATGCATTTACATATGTACATATGTACCTCTCAACAACTCTGAATTAATGTTATTTTAATGAGATGTTTATCTACGAATCCAACACCTAAGGGCACCGTCAAAGCGCCATAAACTCCATAAAAACGCTCGCAACCACCAAGAACTGACCATTGAGCACTGGAAACTTCCCTCTAAAACACTCATTAACATATACTTTATGTTTGTGAATATGTTATAAGGCTTTCAAATAGTCTAATCTCGTTTTAGTTTTGAAGAAATAGCTATATCAAATGTACTTATATATGTGCATACATATCCACCTAAGAATTCCCCATTGACAATTTCGTTGAGTAAATTACCCACGGGCATAATTTATTAGTATATACTTATTGCCACATATGTATGTATATATGTATATAATGCAATATATGTATGAATATACGTATATATCTCTATAACTGTCTTATCGTCCCACCCTCTGTTAAAAACATATATTTTTTCTCTTTATTGGCCTGTGAAGCCAACTCCGATAGTACCATCAAAGTTGTAATTATTCAAGTTGGAAATTAGAGCAAATATCTATATTTACTGACATCACTCTTTTATGATTACAAAAAATCCTTATGCATATGCATGTATATACATGTATATGTGACTGATTGTCGCTTATATCCTGCAGTTAGAATTTCAGCCATAACATGCCGGTTTTTGTACTGATTTTCCGCCAATTTTGACCTCCAATATTTGTTTTTGTCCATTTTGCTGGATGTATGACTTGACTACATACATATATACAATATTTTTTTTTTTTGCCAATACCTGTTGGAAACCATTGGTTTGTCATGAGATAAGTAAACTATTTTTACTTTTATGTGTCAAACAGTCACTAAATGCCCTTAAAACTTTTCAATTAATAAATGGCAGTTGGGAAAACTCGAGGGAGGATTTGTTCATTACAAATATTTTCTGTAACAAATGCAATATGTACATATGCATGTAAGAATGAAAGTACATGTTGGTGTGTTGAACCAGGCAAACTTTAGCACGTTGATATCACATTGGTTTGTAAGAGCGTCATATTTTAAGGACCACTGGAAATGGTGTAATGTTTGATGATAAATTTAAGTACATTACACTTGATTAATTGAGTGGTATATAAAATATTATTAAGGTATTTGTGTCTCAACGTTACAAAAATGTAAATGAACTCGAAATAAATTGACAATGAGACCAGAAGGAGAGAATGAGAAATGGATTTCCATGAGAAATTAAACACAACGCTTTCATTCTCCGATAGAAAGGCATGAACTAAAGGTTCTGTTACCGATGTTAGCTTAAACTATCTCCGAAAGTGCAGCTCTTTGCGGGATAAAATCCGGGTCAATTCCAGCGACGTGGAACCAGTGTTGTCAGAATCGAAATATAAGTATTCACCGTTCGATCAAAGGGTGAAACGGAACAAGAGCGGGCTTCTTCTGTAGAAATCCATACGCAGAAGGTAGCTTCAAGCTAAATGACTAGAACTCAGTCTTCCAAGAAGAAGACCTACGAAATATTTGGCGTAACAGAAAGCAGAAGTACATAAACCTTCTAATGGACAACCACTCAGCAATTAAGGCTCTCCGTAGCACCAAGACACACTGCGTCAGGTTATGCACGCAGGCAAGAACTGTCAGCTGGGGGCCCAGTCATACAGGGATAGAAGAAAATGAAAAGGCTAACTAGTTTTCCTGTTGGGAACACAATACCCCTAAGCTGCACCGTACCATTCAGTTTCTAGGCTTGTCTAAAGCAATGGGCTCTAAAGGAATACTTCAAGTCTTGGAACACTAGCAGCACAGGGCATACTACAAAGTTATCTTGTGGTAGTGTTGATCGTGGACAGACCAAAAAGCTTCTACTTTTAGGCAAAATGGTACTTAGTAATATTGTCTGAGTAATTAAAGAGCACATATACCTCAGATTCTTCTTCTTCTTTATTGGATTAGACACCTCTTACGCGGTTATAGCGGAGTTTACAACAGCGCGCCAATCGTTCTGCGGATACTGTGTCGAATACTCTCATAGTCGCCGCTGTCTCTTAATTCACTGAGCTTCGTCAATGTCGTCGTATATCTCGATGCCGATGCCAATGCTCGAACATTATTTTTGCGAATAGCCAGCCTATGGTTATTATGAAAATTTTCATTCAAGAAGACCATAACTATCTAGATCATATTCAAACGAGATCGTTTTAACTCTCTAATTAGCATCAAATTATTTTTTCTTGGCCCTTAAAAATAAATCAGAAAGATTGGAAGCTCAAAAAATTTCGTCATGAACTTTTTTATAATTTCTGGTATAAATATTTCACCCTGATATGAATTTGAACCATCTTATTATCACGCCTAATAAAGATGTAAGCTGCTGTAAGGAGCTGCTTTGCAACGATTTGGATAGGTCCCACAAAAAAGAAAATATCTATTATTCCACTATTAAAATATCTATTCAGTTTAAATAGACATTTAAGACATTTTCATCACTTTCTTACAGCGCCCGATCCGCCCTCGAACCTCTCCGTGCAAGTGCGCAGCGGGAAGAATGCCATCATCTCATGGTCACCGCCCACCCAAGGCAACTACACCTCCTTCCGCATCAAAGTGCTCGGCCTTTCCGGTGCTTCCAACTCATACAATCGCACATTCGTCGTGAATAACACATTCCAGCACAGCGTCAAGGAGTTGACGCCGGGCGCCACTTATCAGGTGCAGGCCTTCACCGTTTACGACAACAAGGAGTCGGTGGCATATACCAGCCGCAATTTCACAACAAGTAAGTCTCGAAGCAAAGGTGAACTGAGACCTAATAAATGCTACTACTAAATGGAATTTGGGGCGAGGGAAGGGTGTTTACTTGTAGAATTTAATAAAAAGTTTTAATTGAATGGACAAAAATGCTTTGTTGCGCTCTTGCAATTAAAGCTTTGGCACAGTTAAAAGAAAGTGGAAAGTTTTGGTGTTGGTTGCGGGGTTTTCGTTAAAGATTCTTACTAAAACTGTTATTCCTATCCTTTTATTAATATTCAATTTGGAAAAATACGATTGTGACTAAATTAGCAACAATATCTACATATAAATACATACATACATATAAACATAATAATTAAACAATGTGTTAACCTTTATGAACTCTATAATCTCTGCTAATACCTAAACATTACGCTGCTAAAAGGTAGAAGGACGCGACATAAAGAGTTGCTGGATATAAAGATTCTGCGAGGTAACAACAAACTTACGAAACATGCATCAATTTATCTATATGTATACGTAGTATGTACATATATATACATACATATGTACTGAAATGAATGTCTTATTAATCTTACTATATGGTACTAAATGCTTTCAATAAAATTTCTGTAGTTTGAACTTGTGGCTTATGCACTGTTATGCCACACTCTATATATGTATATATGTTTAACTAAAGTTGAAATATATATAAGTTGCAAAATACTGTGAAACTGCACTTTTTGATTTGAAGTTCGCCGTACAAGAATATTATGTTGTAATGTTAAGCTTTATGTTTATAAAAATTAGGTTAGTAGGAGAAAAAGCAAAGTGAGGATACAGAACAGAAATAACCGTTTGTGAAACTCCGCCTGTCTGTAAGCTGTTAGGCAAAATATCAAATTTTCGAGGGTTGCAATGATGCTTATTCTAGTTGAGTTGTAATTTCGGAACTGATTGCGTCAAAATTCAAGTTAAAAGAAGGATTCGTTCAAAAGAAGCAAACCAAAACCTTATTTAAGTGAATGCTACTAGCATTGTCGATATATTTAAAAATCACGAATTTTAATACATATCTTTATAATCGTCTTGAAATAGGCTCCTTTTGAGCCAATGCAAACATGCTTCATCAAATTTTTCATACACTCGGCCTCGGCTGCGCGCTTACAGGGTTTGTTTGGAAAGTAATAGGACTGATTATCTTCCGCACCGACTTGATTCGATAGAGGACGTTYCTAGCTAACGAACGAACGGCTGGTCAGTTGTCTCCGAGCGGCTGGATAGTCAGGACAAACATTTTCGCGCGACGTGTTTCTGTGAGTGATCTAAGGCGAAAATGGAGCGTTCGTTACAGCAGAAATTAAGCAAGTGGAAGTGTGCCAAGAAAATTTGAACATGTGTGAAAGTGACCCTTAATGTTTGAATAACGTAATCACAGGTGACGCGTCAAGTAGGCAATCCTCCGAGTGGCACACGCCGGCGTCTCCTTGCCCAAACAAGATAATAACAAGCAAATTCAAAGTGAAACGATGCTCATTGTCTTTTTTGACATCAAAATCATCATTCACCATGAATTGCTCCTTCCGGACAAACCGTAAACGTCAAATTTTACGGGAAGTTCTCAAGAGACTCAATAGATGGGTCAAGCAGGTCCAACAAGACATCGCAGCCGATTGGAAGTTGCACCACGACAAGGCCCCTTCTCACACCGCCTTTCTTGTGAACACAGCTGCCTATAACCAAGGCCAGCACCCCAACGCTTCCGCAGGCGCACTACAGCCCATTATTTTTGTTTCCTTGCCTTAAAAGGCCGATGAAAGGCAAGCATTTTGAGACGACAAAGGGGATGCAAGCAACATGTATCTCGGCTCTCAAGGCTCCGGAATAGGAGAATGCCTTCCGTGACACCGTCAATGCTTGGAAATCGCGCAGACAGCGCTGCATCGACGCAGACAGAGCTATTTTGAAAGTTTTAATTTTGGCAAAACCCAAAAAAAAACAATAAAAATTAAAAAATGTCACAACTAAGCGAAAAAACATCAAGATAAGGTAAAAAGGGGTCATAAGGTCATAAAAAAAACTGACACATACGAACACCAAACCCTTTGGGGGTTTTACTATACTGACCTAGTACCATCACCCTGACTTGGAATTTCTCACCCCTCAGACAATAATCCCAAAAATGTTCCACAGTGTTACCGAAATCGTTTCCATTACAACCAGATATCATTTAAAAATAATAAAAAATTAATCCCAAGCATTACTTTCACTATCATTTTTATATTTTTTTACTAAAAATTGTCTTGCTAAAATGTCATAACTTAAGATTTATCATTATATTAAGCATAATTGTACTATATATTTTTACTAATAATGAGCACAATATTTACTATGCATATATATTTATACATAGACTTCACTTATCAAGCATGCCGCAAATACATAGTAAATAGTTGGAATGTGTCTACAAGCCGCTCTGCTATGCTTGCTATTGTAACCGCACTTACTTGTAGTCACTTAAGACCTCATATACTATATGTATAATCTTCATATGGATTCGATATAATTTCTCACTTACTCATATTTTTATTTCCCTCATTGGCTACTCCATCCAACAACACTCGCCATATGCCACACTCGTTAAACAATCAACCAAATCGAGCACAGAGCCCAATACACCCGGCAAATTCATTGTCTGGTTCCGTAACGAGACCACACTGCTCGTGCTGTGGCAACCACCGTATCCCGCCGGCATTTACACCCATTATAAAGTATCCATTGAACCACCGGATGCGCTAGAGAGCGTGCTGTATGTGGAGAAGGAAGGCGAACCACCGGGTCCAGCGCAAGCGGCGTTCAAAGGGCTTGTGCCCGGCCGTGCTTATAATATATCGGTACAAACAATGTCTGAAGATGAAATCTCCCCACCGACCACCGCACAATATCGCACAGTACCGTTACGACCGCTAAATGTGACATTCGGTAAGGATTACATCACGTCGAACTCGTTTCGCGTGCTATGGGAAGCGCCAAAAGGCATATCGGAGTTTGACAAATATCAAGTTTCGTTGGCCGCTTCACGTCGCCAATCAACTGTTTCACGAAATAATGATCCGATTGCTTATTTCGATTTCCGCGACATCGCCGAACCGGGCAAGACATTCAATGTTATCGTGAAAACCGTTTCAGGTAAGGTGACCTCATGGCCCGCGGCTGGTGATGTCACATTGCGACCGCTGCCAGTGCGTAATTTACGTTCGTTCAATGATGACAAGACCAATACGATGCGAATCACATGGGAGCCGGATCTAGCGAGTACACAGGATGAATACCGTATAGCGTAAGCTCTTTGCAACTTGTAAAAATATTTTCAGCACTAAAAATTTCTTGATACACAGTTATCATGAACTAGAAACGTTCAACGGCGACACGAGCACCTTTACTGAAGAGCGCCCAAGTACTATACTGGAGAGTCTGCTACCCGGACGCAATTATTCGGTTTCCGTGCAGGCGGTCTCAAAGAAAATGGAATCGAATGAGACTACAATATACGTGGTGACACGTCCATCCTCCCCCATCATTGAGGATCTAAAGAGCATACGCACAGGTCTAAATATAAGCTGGAAGAGTGATGTGAACTCCAAGCAGGAGAAATATGAAGTACTCTATTCCCGCAACGGCACCTCTGAGGTGCGTACCATAGACACAAAGGACTCGCGTTTGGTCATCACCAATTTGCATGCTGGCGCCGGTTATGAGGTGAAGGTCTTTGCCGTTAGTCACGGTCTGAGAAGTGAACCGCACGCATATTTCCAAGCAGTGTGTACGTATAAGCCAAATCTAACCTAACTTATGTCAAAATATTAATGCTAATGCAATTTATTTGTGCAAAACATACAGTTTCCAATCCACCACGCAACATGTCCATCGAAACCGTACGCAGCAACTCTGTGTTAGTGCATTGGGCGCCACCTGAGAATAGTGATTTCACGGAATACTCGATGCGGTATCGCACAGAGACTAAGGAGCAATGGTTTAACTTACCCAGTGTGCGCGCCACTGAGGCGGAGATTACCGATATGACTAAAGGTGAAAAGTACACTATACAAGTTAATACTGTTAGCTTCGGTGTGGAGAGTCCCAATCCACAAGAGGTCGTTTATACCGTACCACCGAATGAGGTGTCAAACATCATACCCTTGGTGGATTCGCGCAACATTACGTTGGAATGGCCGAAGCCCGAGGGACGCGTCGAATCCTATATATTAAAGTGGTGGCCTACCGAAAATTCGAGCAAATCTCAAACCAAAACAGTATCTGAGAATAAATCGGGTAAGCGCAAGATTTAAATTTTATTATTTCTAATTTTAAACTGCTAATATTTGCAATAGATGAGTCTTCCACCGTACGTGTTTTGATTGGTGATCTGATGCCTGGTGTGCAGTACAAATTCGATATACAAACCACTTCCTACGGAATTTTCTCACGCACCACACACCTCTCCACACGCACCATGCCGCTCATACAATCGGAAGTGGTTGTTGTAAATGACAGACAAGAGGATGAACGCGACACCATAACTCTCTCGTACACACCAACACCACAGTCGTCTTCGAAATTCGACATCTACCGCTTCTCACTCGGTGATCCAGACATTAAGGACAAAGAAAAGTTGGCCAACGATACGGATCGCAAAGTCACATTCACCGGGTTAATACCGGGTCGTCTATACAATATCACTGTGTGGACGGTAAGTGGCGGCGTGTCCAGTCTACCCATACAACGTCAAGATCGTCTCTTTCCCGAACCGATAACACAATTGCATGCCACCAACATAACAGACACTGAAATCTCGCTGAAATGGGACATACCCAAGGGCGAATATAATGACTTTGATGTACAATACTTGACCGCTGACAATATACTCGCACAAAATATTACCACACGCAATGAAATCACCATCGCCGATCTACGTCCACATCGCAACTACACATTCACAGTTGTTGTGCGTTCGGGCACCGAATCTTCGGTGTTGCGTAGCAGCTCACCACTATCGGCAAGCTTCAGCACAAACGAAGCAGTACCAGGACGTGTTGAACGTTTCCACCCGATCGATGTGCAGCCCAGTGAAATTGTTTTCGAGTGGTTGCTGCCAACGAGTGAGGCCAACGGTGTCATACGCCAATTCTCCATCACGTACATGAATGTGAACAATGCCACCGAGAGGCGTATACAACAATTCGAGTCTTCCGATGTCACTGGCACCATACGCAACCTGAAGCCGGGCGAAACGTATATTTTCAAAATACAAGCGAAAACATCGGTTGGCTATGGACCGGAACGCGAGTATAAGCAAACGATGCCCATTTTGGCACCGCCACGCCCAGCCACACAAGTGGTGCCCACCGAAGTGTATCGCAGCTCGCAAACAATACAGATACGGTTCCGTAAAAACTATTTCTCCGACCAAAATGGGCCGGTAAGTCAAATTAGTATGGATATTGAGCCGTTTTAGAGTTTACAAAGGAAATAATTTAGTTAAAGAAACCACAATAAAAGCTATAAACTTTATTATCCTTGGATGATGTAGATATTAAAGTATCATTAACACCATTTTTCATTGTTATTTCAAGGTTCGCTGGTATACCATCATTGTCGCCGAAGATGACGCTAAAAATGCTTCAGGTCTAGAGATGCCAAGCTGGCATGACGTGCAATCGTATAGTGTATGGCTGCCATATCAGGCAATCGATCCGTATTATCCCTTTGAAAATCGTTCGGTAGAGGACTTCACTATCGGCACAGAAAATTGTGATAACCGAAAGTTAGGTTACTGCAATGGACCGTTAAAATCGGGCACTACATATCGAGTGAAAGTCCGGGCCTTCACAGCGCCTGACAAATTCACGGACACAGCCTACAGCTTTCCCATACAAACAGGTGAGTGAGGAGTGATTGAATGGTCAAAAATTTTAAGTTACTTTATATTATATAGTGTAAACATAACAAAATATTTTTTATTGTAAAATTTTAAATTCGCTTTACTCTATATTATGTCTTACACAAAAATCTTTGTAAAGATCTACTAATTTCGCCTGGTAAGTATTTGAGTGTTATACCCGCAAATAATACCATTTTTTAGTACTCACTTAAAAAATTTATAACCCACTTACTACAACTTCATTTTCCACACAAAACAGATCAAGATAACACTTCGTTGATCGTCGCCATCACCGTGCCACTAACCATAATCTTCGTGCTGCTCATCACTTTATTCGTTTTTAAGCGTCGTCGCAACAGTTGCCGCAAGGCTACCAAAAACTCGCGTGCCAACGATAACATGTCGCTGCCCGATAGTGTAATCGAGCAGAATCGTCCAATACTGATCAAGAATTTCGCCGAACACTATCGTCTCATGTCGGCCGATTCAGATTTCCGTTTCAGTGAGGAATTCGAAGAGCTGAAGCATGTGGGTCGTGATCAGTCGTGCACATTTGCTGACCTACCTTGCAATCGTCCTAAAAATCGTTTCACCAACATTTTGCCCTACGATCATTCGCGCTTCAAACTGCAACCTGTCGATGATGATGAGGGCTCCGATTATATAAATGCCAACTATGTGCCGGGTCATAATTCGCCTCGTGAATTCATTGTGACACAAGGTCCGCTGCATTCGACACGCGATGATTTCTGGCGTATGTGTTGGGAGAGTAATTCTCGTGCCATTGTGATGTTGACGCGCTGCTTCGAGAAGGGCCGTGAGAAATGTGATCAATATTGGCCAAATGATACGGTGCCCGTCTTCTATGGCGACATCAAAGTGCAAATATTGAATGACAGTCACTATGCGGACTGGGTAATGACGGAGTTCATGCTGTGCAGGGTATATTTTTTTTGTAATTAAATATAGGCAACGCATTTTGCATTACATATTTGTCTTTTTTAACGCAAACAGGGCAGCGAACAGCGCATTATGCGTCACTTCCATTTCACCACATGGCCGGACTTTGGTGTGCCAAATCCACCGCAGACGTTGGTTCGCTTCGTGCGCGCTTTCCGCGATCGTATCGGCTCCGAGCAACGTCCAATCGTCGTGCATTGCAGTGCTGGCGTGGGCCGCTCCGGCACATTTATAACGCTGGATCGCATTCTGCAACAGATAAAAACTTCGGATTTTGTCGATATTTTCGGCATTGTCTTTGCCATGCGTAAAGGTATTTGAATTCTGAGCTATATATTTGGTTGTTAGGTTGTTGCTAAGCCTGTTTTCTGTTTTTTTAGAACGCGTTTGGATGGTGCAAACCGAACAGCAGTACATCTGCATTCATCAGTGTTTGCTGGCTGTGCTTGAGGGTAAAGAGAACATTGTAGGTCCAGCGAGAGAAATTCACGATAATGAGGGTTACGAAGGTGAGTTCTTCCTTCCTTATTTATTGGATTTTTCTGTAATTTAAACTAATCAGCTTTAAAATGTTAATATTTATTTTTGGTTTTGGAGTTGTTTTTGGCGAAAAATGTTAAAGTTTTCAGATCAAATGAGTTAAAGAGTATTACATAGACTGATTTCTGCTTTCCGTTTAAATGAACCTTTCAAAGTTGGACTTACTTAGCTATTATACAATTCATAGTCATTCATAAAATTCCGTGTTCCTCAAGCTTCAAGCCTACATTAAAGACTATGAATGGTTCTACCCGAAATTGAGAAGAGATTTGTGGGAAAAATTCTTCTGATTTTTAGCTATCAATCTGAAATTTTGCACATGTCCTTTTTTACCTAAAAGTCTGCTCATTTGTCGGAATCATCGATATCGGGCCACTATAGCATATAGATGTCATACGAATTGTTGGATCAAAATTTCATTCTTGTATGGGAAACTTTTTTATTTTTCAAGATATCCTCACAAAATTTGGCACAGATTTTCAAGGCTACGATGCAAGCTCCAAGCAAATTGTTCCGATCAGACCACTATAGCATATACATACGTTGCTGTCATTCAAACTGATCGACATTACAACCTTTTTTGCTATAAAAAAAATGCACCTGTGGAATGTATTATAGCTTCAGTGAAGCCGAGGTTAACGTTTCCCTTGATGCAATAATTACAAAAAAAATTAGATCGTCACACTATATCGTAGAAAGGATCACTTTCACATTTTTCGCCAATTTTTTCACTAACAAATTTTGTAAACACTTATTTTTGACGTCAAACTTTTGCTCCAAGAAGCTAAGGAGGTGTTGGGTTATTCGCTGTAACTAACAAAAAAATACGAAAATTTCTTCTCTTTTACAACTGCGATACGTGGAACACAAACCAAACGTTAAACACCCCTTCCAACCATGAAATCGCATACATTTATCTAAAAACTCACACACTCACACACATGTGCTACATGAACACACACACAAATGCTTTCATTTAACTGCACACTTCATTGGTCATAATGATGACACTGCAGAGCAACAACAACAGCTGGATGAGAACGGCGAAGTGATTGCAACTATTGAAGGACATGATTTGCAGCCGGAAGAGGCGGAGGAGATCGATAATGAGAACGCCGCTATCATACATGACGATCAACAGCCATTAACCGGTTTCGGCGGCGCGGCACACAGCGCCTCAATGACATCGTCCTTCAATGGTGGTGCTCATATGTACACCGATAGCAACGCAGTGGACAGATGACATTCGATTAGCCAAAACGATAACAACAACTCCGTGGTTATCGTTTTGGTGGATAACAAACCCAGCTCGATGATCTGTAAAGAGGGTGCCATCGATGTGATCAGCATCGGCGGCAATGTGGTGCACAACAGCAATACGCTCGGTGGTAGTGTTGCGGGAAATCATCATAATACAAACGGTGGCAACAACTCAATGAACGGCCACCATACGCTGCAACACAGACGCAAGTCACAGCTGATCACATTCAGCGCGTCATCCTGTGATATTAAGAACAGTCTCAGCCATGAGATTATACTGGTCAATAGCAATTGTGGCAACAGTGCGAACAATGGTGTCAGCGTTGGCGTTGGTGGTGCTGGTCACGCGCCACGTGGCAGCATAATCGGCAGTATTAGTAATAGTAGCGCTGTTGTCATCGGCAATGGCAGCTCGGGTAGTGGTGGTAATGCGCGTCTTAGCTTTGCCGAGGAGGATATAATGATTGTGACCAATGGCAGTGTTGGTGGCGGCGGTGGTGGTGGCTCAGCTTCAGTTTCCGGCGGCTCGGGTAGTGGTGGCTCCGGTTCGGGTAATGATGGTGACCTCGACGATGATGTCTTCCGACGCCGTTCACTCGATGTCGACGAGGATGATGAAGATGAAGATGTGGAGGAGGACGACGATGGCCTATTCGATGATGTCTATGGCACGCACATTGATGTGCCACATAATGCCAACGACGACAGTGGTGGCGGCAGCTATGAGGATTCACATGCCATGCACAGCTCGTTGGCGGGCAGTAATCGCAATAGTTTGGAAAAGGACGATGATGACATCGAGGCGGATGTGATCAGCACAGATGTCAGCTGCTATGATCAGTTGTTGGGCACAAGTTGTAATACGCGCAATGATGAGGACGAAATAGCGACACTGGTTGGTGAAGGCGATAGCTATACGAAACTCTGTAAAACCGGTGTTAAGGGCACAACTACATTGAATGGTGTTGGTAGTGGTGGTGTTGGGGAGAACGGTGGCATCATATACGCCAATCCGTTTTTGGGTTTGTAGCATATTTAATTAAATCAGTTGTTTTTGTATTTTTTACTAAAGTTTGTTTGTTGTTGTATATGTAGATTTGTAAATGCCTTTTTGATTAATTTTTAGCTTCTTTATTTGATTTATTTTTTGTAACTTAAGATTGCATATTATAAAAAAAATTAAAATAACCTTCTTTATAAAAAAAAATTTTTTGTACTTTTGCGTAATTAGATTAGTAGAATGAACTCATTGATAATGGAAGAGAATATAAAAAAAATAAGAGGAAAATAATCTGGGGGTCGGGAGGTGCTTTAATAAAAAGATCCACAACTTTTGGGTTAAATAAAAATAGCATTTTTTCAACAATTTTTTCTCATATAAAAGGGGTCTAGTGACCCCTCTGAAAACATATGCTCCCATGTTTGCAGGATAACTCCTTAGAGGATCATCTAAAATGGAAAAAATCGTGCTTTAATTGAAACCCTAAGTTAGAAAAGGGAAAAACACTGAAAATTGGATTTTTGGCAGACATTTTTACAAAAAAAAAATTTAATTTCCCGACATTTTTTTTTTTCAAATAGTTGTAATCGAAAAAAATCCTTTATCCAAGTCTTTGAGAATTGTATCTCAAAGATTTATGTAAAATTTTATGAAGATCGGCTAAGTGGTTCTGGACTTCGACTTCAAAAATACAGTTTCGAGAAAAACGCGTTTAAAGACGGCGCACTTAGCCTAGCTAGCCTTGAGCGCACAAATTCTCAATGCTGTATATCCGAAACTATTTCTCGGATCAACTTGAAAATTTAGGACAATGCTCTAGAGATGTTGTAGAGTTTAATAAGACGATAACAAAATTTGATTTTTTAAACCCGTAAAGAAAGTAACCTCTTAACTTAGAAAACCTCGTACAATGGCCTACAACCAGAAAAGAAAAACTGACAAAACGGCGGCTTTAAAAAAATTGAATTTACACTAAGTTTTACGACTGCCAAAATTCGATTTTTGAAAAAAAGAATCGATTTGTTCAAAATTTCCCACTTGTGCTTCTTAACACACAATACAAAAAATTTTATAAATATAGGTTAGGTTCAGTTTAGTTAAACAAGTTACTGGTTTCTTTAATAAAATAATAATATTGCAAAATATGTGTAGCCTAATGTAAAGTATTTTAAAATGCTAAATTTGTGTTTATAACTTTGCTATTATTATTTAAAAAAAAATGTATATACATATGTATTTAGAAGTAGTTGCATTGTGAATACCCCTGATTGGCAAATTTTAATTAAAGAATTTGTTTTTTTAATTCCCAACTAACATTTATTAAAAAAAATGTCCGCATGCTTAACTGTAATAACCAAAAAAAAATTTTTTTAACAAATATTTCGACAAATGTATAATATTTTTAAATGCTCTCATTTCTCCCTTACAGATGACGAAGGCATCGCGGAGTCGGGAATGTAAAAAATACTAACTACAGTCAAATTAAATACTTTAAACTATTTTTAGAGCTGAACAAATGAAAATATGACGCTTTACGACCTAGCAAACTAACGGTCACACACACCGTTAGAGACTCGAATGTGGCAGAGCAACTCAAAGTGAATGGATATAAATATTGTGAAATAAGTTAGAAGCATACTAATTTACATAAAAGATAAACATACACACATATAAATATATATATATATATATATACAATATATAGGGAATAGAGGGACAACAGTTAAAGTACTCGTACTGCTAAGAATTACAAAAACAACAAAACAATGATGGAACATTGTGACAGTAAACGTAAAAGAAGAATCTCGCCAACAAAGGAACAAATATTTAAAAAATATTTATACTTAAAAAACAAGAACAACAACTTAATTAAATAATTAATTTTTTTTACATCAAATGTATAATATAATAAATACTAAACAATAATGCTATACCTATACATATATTATGCATAATTAAGTGTGCAATTAAAACTAACAAAACATTGCATTTTGGCTAAATGAATGTAGCGATAGCAAACGGATCATTGGCGGCAACAAACGAATTTTAGATTTTTTTCGTTTTTTTTTTAAAGCACTTTTTTAAACCACAATCACTGTTTAGCAGCAATTTGTTTATAATTCGAAGTTTTTCGTTAATTAATTTTAATAAAATTTTTTAAATTGATTTTAATTTTTTTTAACTTTAACTTTAATTTTTTAAATTAATTTTAATTTTTTTAATTAATTTTAATTTTTTTCATAGCACACAAATGTGAAGTATTAATTGCATTTTATTAATTTTAATATTTTTTTTGTGTTTGCATGCCTAAAAATGTTTGTACACGCGCAATATTGAGCTATTAACTCATGTGGCAAATTTATAAATATGTATGTATATGTAAAAGCTTGTAATGGTATATGTAAATCTTCTTATTGTATGAAAGTTAGGCAATATGTATTTTACATACAATTTTTTTGTTTAATGTATTGTATGTATATTTAAAAGTTTTGTAAATGTATTTGTAAAAAATGAAGTAAACAAAACTAAATATTTTCAAAAAGAGCCAAGAACAAGTTACAATAGATTTATATTTTATGTTGACGTTAATTTAAATTTATCAAACTCTAATTTTTTTAACAATGTGCAGTGTGTTAAATATGAAAATTTATGTTTTCCATTGTAAACAAACCGAAATAAAATATGGACCACGAAATTTATAATTTGTTTTTAATTTTTTATATTCGTACAAACTTGAATTTTTAAGGTAATTTGTTATATTTAAATTGCAATATTTTTCGCTTCAACAAATCTTTATTATTATTAATTCTAACTTATTAAAAATATGTTATTTTTCATGTTGAACTTTTTACTAACTTTTATTTTATCATATTTAGTTATATTTATAATATACTTTTTTTTAATAATTTTTTTACAATAAAGCGTTATGTTTTTAATTAGCTGTATCACCTGAAATGGAAAATCACGTAACATCACTTTTTATAAGTTTACAGGCAAAGAAAAAACGTTTTAATTGATATCGCTATGGTATTGAAACAAAATTTCAGTTTCGGTTATAAAATGGTTGAATGTGGTTATATTTAACAGCAATAGCAGAAAATTTTATGGTACATAATATGTATAATATACATATGTAATATGATGTAGAGAATCCTAAGTATTAAAAACTCAATTTCGATTCTTTTTAAGATACGTTGTTTTGTATTTTAGGTGACGATATGAAGCCTCATAGCTTAAGGAGTTATATCCACTTGTAAAGTTGATAAAAAAAATTTTTTTTTCGCCTATATAATAAGAGAATATGAAACTATGCTCCGACTTTGGAAAGTTGGATAAAAACCAAAACATTTTCAACTTAGCTTCCAAAACTTTAAAAGCTTTCACAGCCAATGAAGAAAATTTCTCGGCTACACTTGGTTCGTTCGCCTCAAACACGACCTTCGTAATTATTTTTGTCAGCTAGTGAGCGAAGTAAATTTCTATAATAATTTCGATGTTTTAAGACACTGTTGTATAAAATAATTTTTTTTTTTTTTTTTTTT